CCTGCATATATAAACGTTAGAGGATAAGGTTATCACGGAGGAGCTGCATGATGAGGGTGATGTCTTTGTATGATTATTCATCATATATAGGTGCTTAGTTCTATAATAACTTAGTCAAATTCCTGCATATAAGATGATTAGGTGGTAGTTCCACCATAATAATATCCATAGATAGATATCAAACAACCTTTGAAAATGAGAGTAAAGTTGTTCTTGCTATATAAGAGGAGGCATGCTTGATATGGATGCAAATCCGACCATAGGGATTGCAGAATATTGTTTGATATAAGCTCAATAGAATTTCAGAAATATGGCTCTAACATCGTATTACAAAATAAGAAAAAGTTGGGTAGAAGACAAATAAATCCATGACCCAATAAACCTGAAGTATTTCACATTATAGTCCTTTTTTTGCAGAATTTCACATTATAGGGTTTGCTAATTTTGTGAAGTTAAGTAATTGTGTTTGAAATTATACTTTTTATTATGTATTGTACTTCTTTTAATAACCTATAAACTATATTCCTTGTACCATTTTAGTTCAAGGTTATGTTTGTGACAACTTTTTTATTATTTTTTTAAAGTAGATTTTTAGTATTAAAAAGTTTTTTAACACAAAAAATTATGTACTAAAAAATTGCTTTAGAAAGAAGTAAGAAAGATATCTCAAACGAAGCCTAAATTATAGACTTTCTAAAGCAGCTTTTTAGTGCAAAAATTTCTAGTTCAAAAAAAAAAAAATAGCTAAAAATTATTTTAGAAAAAAAAAAAACTAAAAATTTATTTTAGAAAATAATAAAATAGATGTCTCAAACGAAATCTTAATCTTTTGATACTTCTTTAGTTCATCCAAATTAAGAGAGGAGCCAATAGATTGCTATGATGCAACATATCTTGTTATTAAAAAATAATTTACTAAAATCATGATGAAATGTGTCTTTAGATCTAAGTAACCAAAGAATTTTTAATCTAATAATCTTCTTTTTCTTTATAAAGTTGTCTTTTTAAATTCCTTCCATAGATATAATATATAGCATATCTGGCATATGAATATTATAGCACCTGAAGACTATAAAAGGGTCTAATAATGTCATTTGTATTTTTAATGATATTAATTTGTTATCAATATTTTTCATGTGATTTATTTAAGCAATTCAGAGTTAAGGGAAATATTTTTTCAAGCAACAAAATATATTTATAAGTATAAAATTTAGTTCTTAAAAGATCTACACAATAAAATGACATTTCTATTTTTTTAATGATAAATAATTAATAAATTATAAAATTTATGAATAAAAAATATTTTTAATCACTTGATTATAAATATAAATATGGATAAAATATAAATATTTTTTAATTCAAATTATTCAAATTTTACGATGAGCTTTGTTAGAGAGAACCGAATAATTATGGTTAACAAATTAGGTCAAATAATAGTGCTCCTATGAAAAAAAAAATAATGAAAGCATACAGTTTTTGGCGTAATAATTGGGTGCTTTAATATAACTTACATGATGTTTGGTTCAAGACCTAATTTATATGATTATGTGCAAGGTTATGATTAAATTCACTTAAAATAAAATAAAATAAAATAAAATACTCCTAATAATAAGAATATATTATAACGATAAATACTATAAAATTAAAATATATTATATTTGAGTATTAAATTTAGGTTTCGGACTGTTTTTTTTGTTGCTTCTTAAATCATTTTTTTACTATAAAAATTAAATTCTGTTATAAAAAAAGTTGCTTTATGAAGCAGTAAGAAAGTCGTCCGATCGAAGCCTAAGAAATTTTAGTATTAGAAATGGCCATTTGTAGCTATGATATTATATTAGATTTTGGAGTTAAGTATCTGTAATAATGAATTTCATATAATTCAAGCTTAGGTAATAGTTGAGAAAGAATTTCTAAATTTTAATTAAAATATTAAAAATACAAGCCTCGATGATCCATTAAAAGCCCAATGAAATTGGGGAAGCGAGTGGGCCTCGGCCCCTGGCAATTTGGGTAAATTAATGATGGGCTTTATAAATTATTTGGGCTTCAAATACTCCTCTACAAGAAAGGTCAAAATTTGGAAATTTCTATGGAGAGGATTCATACGTTCATCATCTAAAGCCTAATAGTTTGCAAAGTGCTCTCATCTATTTTTGTTATCTCTTTGTTTGCATAACTTGGGTTACTTTTAGCCTAAATTAGCATAATTCTAATAGATAAATATCTATCTTAATCCTATCATATATATTAACTATTTAGATTATATAAAAAATTTACATTTAAATATTTTGATATAATTTATCAAAATTTAATAAAAAAAATTAAATTTTATATTAAAAAATTAGTTCATGATAGAATTTATAAAAAGGAGCATATTTTTCAGATAATTAAATGGTAGAAGCACAACGTAGAAAAAGAAAAACCATATTGAAGATTAGTAGTAGGTGATAATCGAGAAGAGTTTAGACCAATTTGATCAAAAAATTGTAAGGTGTCAAAAAGAGTCGACGAGTTGAGTTTGGGTCCAACCCAAAATGACCTGGGTTCAAACATATTGACCCGAACCCATCTTGATTTTATAAATGGGTCAGGAATTCTAACCCAGATTTGACCCGTGCGGGTTACCGAGTTGACCCAACCCAACCCGCGAACTCAGAACACAACGGGTACAGGTCCTACGTAAGGCTGGAGGCAGGGCCGACCAGTCGACTCATGAGTGCAGTGAGGAAGGTGAGGGGTTGGGCCCACTACAGCGAGCGCGCAGGCTCCTGAGTGAGGGTTGCAACTCACGAGGCATGCACGAGTGCATCGTGCACGCTGGGTGGTGTGGGATGTAAGTCCACGGCGGGATCCAGGATCGAGTTTTAACACAGGGATTTGGGTCACCCAGGTCAATTTCGAGTTTTCTAATCAACCCGAACTTGATCCAAATTTCAGATGAGCTAGAAATCTGAACCCGGACCCAACCCATTTTACAAATGGGTTGACCCAAAATTAGATTTTTTTTTTTTTGGTTAGGTTTCAAGTCGTGTCAACTTTTAATATCCCTAAAAAATGTTTAAGAAAAATAAATCCTTAAACTCCCTATGTTGATCAAATATTATATCAATATGATAATTGACAAATATCATCATAATGATGACAAAGTTATTGTTGTGGTTTTCGATTGATGGTTGGTCATAGTGGATAATGGTAATATAAACCTTAATAGATGATGAAATAGAGGTATAGATAGCATGAACCTCTCCTGATTTGAGTCATTTGAGGATTTCCTTCCTTAACTCCTTAGCCCTAGGTCCTTCAAGAATGTTTGCCTTGCAATCAATATGAAAAAACATGTAATATTAAAACATGTTCTTTGTACGTTATTTTTCTTCTATAAATGTCTTATTACCACATCATCTTAGTTTAGTAAGGATGAATTCCTTTAATTAGTTGGCATGAATAAACTCTTTGACTAAGCCCAAAAGGTGGTAACAATTCATCATATAATGATGTGGCCTTTATGATGGACTTAATACTTTGACTAGTCTTAGGCATTCAACATTATGTATATTGATAATGGTTTACATAAGTATCCATTATTACATATTAATTACATCCATGATTTGTACAAGTTATACTCAATGAGGGGTATAGCTTGGATTCCATGACTATGAAAGTGGCCACACTCATTTGAAGGGTCTTAGGTTGACTGGTTACTATATATCTCGCTTCTAAAGGCGGAAGCCATGGGTTTGCTTGTTGTGGTCAAAATAGTGATGCAACTTCTCAACCAACTTGTATGGACTATCACACGACTTTCTCCAGTGCTCCAAAAAGTATCCCTAAGGATCATATGTGAGTCTAGAATAAGTTAGATTAGAAGAATGAATCTAAAATCACATGGTTGTACTCATTAATGTGATTGATAGCAAGCTCGGCCAAAAGCATGTCGAAATATTGGACCTTCTTAGAGGATATGAGTGAGCACAATATGGGTAATAGCAAACTCCGATCCAAATCCTATACATTTAGCATCTCATATAAGTGAGTCTTGAAGTGACGAAGGGATTCATCATGCACCTATTTCATGTTTAGAAGAGCATGGGAATGTTAAATAGTTGCTAAGCACTATTGAACTACAATGTGAATACTTTTTTTATTCTATAAAGGAGGTAATTAATTATCTCGAAGGAAAATGCGGGAATTAACGTAAGGTGTCTCCTTGAATTTAGTGAATAAAAGTATGCACTTTATATCACTAATGGTTAGAAGGGAGATCATTGAATTGTTAGAGTAAGCAATGTGGTCTGTTAGATCTAACTTCCCATGATAGAAGTGCGACACAAGCATCTTAAACTTTAAAAATGGCTAGGCCTTCATGTTCTTTACTTAGAAAGCTTTTGTAGGTTGTACATATGATCGAGTCTTTGTTGATTGGTTTGGGAGATCAGTAGTCTCCATCATATTCTTCTCAATTAGCTACGACTCATCATCAAGATTTGGAGAGAGAGAGAGAGAGAGAGAGAGAATTACAAGCATATTTTTGTTCTAGTATAAATTTTTAGGCTAATTTATAATCATTGACTTGATAAATCTGATTCAAATTTGATGAATTTAATCCATGCATGCTAAAATATGCGTACGTTGTGTGCTAGCCGGCCATATCAATGACGAAAATTACTCAACAATGAAGAGTCAAACCTATACAAAAAAACCAGTGAGAAAAAGATGGATTGGAGAGTTAGACTAATTCCCTCGGTCGACCACTTTATTAACGCCCAAAAAAAAAAAGAAAAAAGAAAGACATCATTAAATTACTTTTCAACTGATCTAAAAGAAGAAGAATCGGTATTTTTTTTTTCTTTAACTCACAGAATATATATCTTCTCATTTAAACAACTCCATTCAGGCTTCTATTAATCTACATGAAATTAACAAAAGTCTCTATAAACTACTCCATCTGTAATACAACAATCACCAACAGCATAACCACCCCATAATTACAAAAAAGATAATAATAATCACAAATTCAACTATCAATATTCCTGTTTAATCTATGAATGGGTCTGATAAAAAGAATATAAGAAGCACAGACAATATCATACATCAATCAATGGATATTCTAGCCATCTACTATCCCCAAAACTCTGAAATAAATCAAACGAAGTATGAAAAAGATGAAGCTTCAGCCTCAAAGGTACCTCTTTTTTTATCACTGCACACGCCTTCTCTCATCCTCCATGTATGTATTCCCCTCCTTTCCATCTTCCAACCTTAGTAAATGGCTGAAGATATCGCCGGCCGTATCACCATGAGAAGGCCTGCCAACTTGGAAGCCCGCCGCCGGACTCATATCGTGTAAGAAACTATGGAAGCTCGGGTCGAGTGACGACGATGAGAAAAAAGCTGGCGGTATCGGCGGCAGCGAGGTTGGAACCGGCAGCAGAATTCCAGGCCGGATGGCAACAGGCCGCTCCGGGGCCGCGGAGGAAGTCGTGGGCGGGTCAGCCGCTGCTCTGTCTGGGCCTGTGAGACGCTGTACGAGGCCCATGAAGTTGGCTGGTTCGACATGGATGACTTTGGGGGATATGGTGTAGATGATGACCGGCTCTCGTTGCTGCTGCGGCAGCGGCGACGGTTTCGTGATCTTGTGAGAGTCTTTGCTGACTCGAAGAGGAGAAGGGCGCGGTCCCTGGAGCTGGAGCTCTCGCCGATGGGAGAGGCTATGATCCATGGGCTTTGGTCTATGCGGAGATAGGGTGGATAAGCGATAAAAAACTTAGAAGGAAAGGGAGAGGGAGGATTGGGGCTATCGTTAGCAATGTTAAAAAGGGCAAATTATTCTATGTGGACATCTAACATCCTCCACATCACCTATTATTTGGTATCGTAGTTCGATATTGAATAACGTGGCTGCACAGTCTGTATCTGATTCGCCTCTGGATGATAATCTATCTTTCCGCACAGAATAATCTGTCATTAAAAAGAGTTGATTTTTTATATTTGGTCTGATAATTAATTTGAATATCATTAATTTCTATACATTTCTCATAATGAGTTAAATAAAAAAAAATATTTCTTCAAAAAAAAGTAAAAACTATATTTTATATTTATGAATATATTATATTGATTAAATAAATGAGGGGCGTATATATAAATAAAATATCTGCTATTCAATGAGCAGACTATCGTTTGTCTACGCAGCAAGTGTCATCCGGTTGAGAAGCAGGCAGGAGTCAAGAGCGGGTGGGAGAATTCTAATTATTTAAAGATAGAAAAAGTCAAATAAGGGAGATAAAAAACAAAGATAAGGCTCGATAACTGAGTTCTAAGCATATTTTACGCAATTGTAAAATTAATATATTTTGTGTAATATTTTATAGATAGATATTTTAATTTTCTGACGTACAAATGATGTTGATGGATACAAATATTTATTTAAGTTAAAATATAGGCCATGGCTGTGTGGGTTTAGGTGAAACGACTTGTCTATTGGCTTTAATTATCCTGCAAATGAAAAAAGGTTTTGTTTAATTTGGCAATTTTATGGCACATGACTATTTTTTTTTTCTTATTTAAATAGTAGATGCTATATATAATTTTCAAAATTTTATCAATTACTATAGCAGTGTAAATTATCCAAATTTGAATGAATTTATTTTGTATTATTGTGTGAATCATTTAAATTTTATATATTCGTGTTCAACTCATTTGAATTTGAGGTTAATTTCAGCTGATTTTAAATAAATGAAGATTAATAAATAACACAATTCTCTTTGGTTTGTTGGTTGGGAGTTTGGCTCCCAACTAAGAGGTCTTGGGTTTAAGTTTTGCATATATGTTATATATGTGTGTGTGTTTGAGTGCTGCCCTAATTTCAAAAAAAAAAAAAAAGATAAATAAATAACAAGGCCAATATAATAGATTAATAGTAGAATAGCTAGCATTGCACTTATTTGCTAATCAATCAATAAAATTGAAAAAATATAAATTTAATATGCTATTTATGTATTTAATTATTTCAAGTAAATTATCAATCAAATATGATCAAATGAGGCTCTATTTGTGTTAGACTTATAAAGAAAATAAGCTTAAAATATCTTTTAGTGATAAGCTTTCTTATTTAATGAATGATTTGAACAAGTAACATGGATCATTTCCTCATGATGCAATAAAGCTTTAGATGGGTGGCTTTCATATATGATATAGCTGGGTGGCTTTCATTTTCTCTCTCTCTCTCTCTCTCTCTCTCTCTCTCTCTCTCTCTCTCTCTCTATCACACATAGATATCTCTTAGATAAGATAATGCTTGATAAGTTATATAGAGGGCTAAAAATGCTTTGGGGGATTCCATGCACATATAAGAATGTTTAACTTAGTATGATGTTTTTGGAGGGCTAAGGGTTGTTGTTTGATTAGTGCAATTTATTTGACAATTAAAAATCAGTTTCTACTCAATATTGGCTCTTAGGGATAGTTCATAGGGTTAGTGTTATTGTGGCTCAACTTAATCAAGAGATTAACTTGTAAAATAAAGAAAGTTGGACAAATATTAAATTTGGTAATTTAGCTTAGGATGCTTTGGTTGTTTTTAGGGAAGTTGTGGTACACCTATTTAAGGAAAACCAACCAAGTTAAGTTTGATTTTGGCTAGCCTAGATAAGGGATCTTAATATATGGTTCAAGGAAATCTAAGAAAGGTTTAGGCCAAGCTAATTAGGTCTAGCATCAACCCAATTTGGCTAATTAAACCTATTTTACTCAACAAGTCAATATGGGCTAACCTAGGCTTTGGTTGGGTCCAATGAGATTTTAGTAGCTCTTAAGTCTCCTATGGGTTCTAGGAAAACTAATTATTAATCCTCAAATACCCAATAGCTTACATTCAATTGGTTTGAATAGATTTAACAAGCTAACTTAAATTCCAACTAGAATAACAATCAAATTAGTAAGACACAAGTGACTAAACAATCATTTCATTCAGTTAATGTGAATAATTAGTCATTACCTATTGTCAACATGGATGGTAGCCCCTTCAAGTGGATCTAAAGTGGTTGAAAGGGGGATAATTCTCTTTTTAATGTTGTAGCCATCTTGGGATGTCTAGGCTTATTTTATGATCGACCTATTTAGGTGCTTGACATTTGAATTGTAATCATTAAATTGTATAGAGCAATCCTTCTGAGGAATCTCCATCTGATCCATCATTTAACTCAAGTCTTAAATTTAGTTATTCAAAACTTTATTTTCATTCTATAGCTTCAGGATCATGACATACATTACATTAATGACATTGAAATGCCTTCATTTAGTCAAGAATGTTTGCCAAGAGTTTGTCCTTCAATAGGTAGCTAATCTCACATATGATTTCTTCAAACCCACAACCTATGATTTTTTTGTGATTCTTTGGTGGTGCTAAAGTGAATATTGCATGAGAACATGGGATGGTTACTCCGAATGTCACATGTATTGCTAGGCTACTTGTTGGTTCTATTACATTCAAGACAATCAATACATTAACATAGGGTGACACTTTTTTGCTCATGATTTCTACATGCTCAAACATGGAATCGCTTCACTTCTTTTGCCCTTCAAAAGTGCTATATATTCTCCCATTGCCACATTCATGCGTGGTTTGCCTACTTAATTTAGTTTATTGTTGAACTATTTCCTCTTCTAATTGTGGGATTTTGCTTCCTTAACCACACTTCATGGGTGGAAAGTTCTTCTACCACCATCTTACACGAATTTCCACTTCGAATTGGTTCGTCAAAACCTCAACTTGTGCATTGACTGTCATTGTAATACTTTTTCTTGCTAAGAATCCCTTACAACTATCTATTCCCTCTTTATCTTGTGGCTTCTTCCTGTGCCTCTTCCTCTTATTGCAAAATGGCCTTTTCCACTATTGCCTCTATTTTAAGTTGGGTGACCTTCAATGCCACTACCACCTTTCTTTGGGTAGCCACCACTGTGGTCTATAACTTTGCCATAGTTATTGCCTTTGCTAAAGCTTTTAGTTTTATCTTTGGGGCTAACTCAAACTCCACCAAGCATTTATCTACCATTATGGAATTATAAAATGCTAAAGTATATCAATAACACAAGTAATTGGAATTAAGTTAATACTCAAACTGGCATTTTATTTCACTCAAAGTTATATAAATCAGTTTTTTGGATGAGAAAGGTAAAATATAATGCCTCGTTTATAGCATTTAATCAGAATTATTTATATGGAGGCACCTGGTAATATGTATTTATGTCAGATCATGCCAAGTGAATTGCCATTGAGTGAGATAAAATTTGTTGTCTAGAGTTATTGTCAAGTAATTTACATTATACTATTTTATGTATGAATCACCCAAATTATTATGCCATTAGTTAATGGGTTGACTAATTTTCAAGCCAACTAGATGTCATTCTTCTTCATGATTGAAATAATCATCAACCACTTTAGCATGATGCTACAATATTGCATTTGCTAGTTTAGGAGCCACTCTTAACACAATGTTCTAACATGTTTATCGCAATGTAATCTCTAAAGCTAATAATACTCTGATATATACCTTGATGATTTATTAGACTTTTGGCTATTACATACATGAAAAAGCTCTATAATTGAAAGGGAGTGGCTTAGTGTTTGGAGGGATGTAAGCATCACACGTAGTAGATTTTTTTTAATACCTCAACAATAGTAGTAGACAATTTATCGAACCACTTATATATTTTTTTGTTCATTTTTATTTTAATGAGTTTATTTGTTAGTAATTGATCCAAAGGCTTTCTTCACTTACAATTTTGCTCGTGCATGAATAGAGAGTAGAGAAGTCATCTTAGTCATTCTTGCCTTAATGCCAATCCTCTCCATTCATAGTGTTAAACATAGATACATATGAGCTAGTTTGCGGTTGACCTATATATCGAGTACATGCGATAATCAATATTGAGAAGGCATGGCATAGGTGGGGTGTAAAAAATGAGAATTGAAAAAATAAAAATAGCTTATAGAAATGTTGAGAGGGCGACTTAAAAAGATTTAGATAAGGATCATTACTACACGATTTGTATCAAGTAGTTCATATCTCAATCAACTATGCACATGATCATAATTTTGGAGCAAATATGAAAGCTATTGAGTTGATTTCAAATTTTCTCAATCCCAAAGAAATAATTAGCTTCGTTTTTTTTGGATCAAGTTAAAATCAAATTAGAACTTCATTTGGGACATTTTTAACTGATTTCTAAAGTAATTTTTTATACAATTTTTTTGAAAGTAGTAAGAAAACTATTTCATGGCTTCTTTTGAACGGCTTTCTTATTGCTTATTAAAACAGCTTTTAGTGAAAAAAATTTTATGCTAAAAATTTACTTTAAAAAATAATAAAAAATCATATCAAATGAAACCTTAATTAAATTATGCAATGACAGCTCCTCCATAATATGCATAAAGATGCCCTTTAGTGGTGGCCTCTCTCCTGATTTGATAACATGTAATATATATATTAGTCAAATGGTCATGTAAAAAAATCTTTGAAAATATAATGAAAGTGAGAATCGAAAGGAATAATATTTTGCTGACTCAAAAAGTTTAACTTTAAATTAATATATAATTATGAAAAAATAAAATCCACCGCACGCTACAAAGCTACCATGAATTTCATCAGAATTGGACCCTGGCCTTTCCGTCTGTGAAACTGCAAGGCTAGTCGGCCAAGTTACACGTCAGCACACCCTCGTTGGTTCGTGCCTGCGCCGCTCCGCCCTTGTCTTTCCGCTTCCAGCTCGCCTCCCTCTCTCGTCTCGAATCCACACCATTTGTTGCTATTCTCTCAAGTCTTACCCCAAATTCTCAGCTCTCACCTTTCTCTCTCTTCAGGATCTACCCTGCATGGGAACGAAAGTTTTACGATCTCATCGAAATACAAACGACGCTGTCGTTGTGGTGGATTGCTGAATCGCCCGGGGCAATTCTCTTCTCTGAAATATGCTGCGGGAGGAAGATGTTATTTTTCGATCAAACGGAAGCGTGCGGAAGAGGACTAAAGCGCCGCCGCCGGAGAGCGGAAAGAAATACAGGCCCATGGGGGATATAATGCGGACGGCGAAGCCTGTTTGTCCCGTCAACGAAGACTATTACTCGTACATCAGGTGTGAGCAGTGCCGATCAGGCGAACGAGAGGACGAGCTCGTTCTCTGCGACCGTTGTGATATGGGATACCACCTTTACTGCCTCAGGCCGATCGCGGTCAGGGTTCCCGTAGGGCCCTGGTTCTGTCCTAGCTGCACCGGCGGGAGAACAGTGAGAAGTACGCACATTGATATGCTTATTTTGTTCTAGTTAGGATTTTGATTAGATGTTAAAGGCAACATTAGGCGTTCTGATCCTGCTTTTGGTTTCTCAGGGTTCCCGCAATTGCAGAAGATGATCGTCGATTTTTTCCGGATTCAGCAATTGACAAATGCCCCAGAGGACGAGGAGCTCAGGGCATTTCATAGTGGTCGGTGTCGATTGTTCTGATTTTTTTCTTTACCGGTTATTCAGTAATGACAACAGGGCTATCGATGCTATTTCTTATACATAAATTTGTTTTACCTTTTACTTTTCATTATAGATTATATATGGTTTGCATGTGTATTTTTGCCTGGTCTTTATGAAATTTCTTTTTTGTGGGTATTGTTCGGAGCATTACTTGCATTACACCCTTTTCATTTAGTTTTCACATAAGTTTATGAATTCTTGTGGCAGCAATAGTAGACTAAGAATCTAAGAATCCTAATACATATCACACTTTTCATGATAGCCAAGATCCTAAATATCTACTTGCAGACCCCTACTAAAACTTAAAGTTATAAAATAAATTAAACTAAGATTTAAATAAAACTTCAACTTTTGGTCAATTATCTTAAAACGATTGTAGATTTTGAGATTTGTAGCAATTAATTTGAACCGGCTACTTATATACCTTAGCAGTAATTTACATGACTACATGAACCAAATACTTGATTGAAAACTCATTTTTTTTTCTGTTTAGCACTTGCTTTTTTTTCATCTTCGCAGCCTAAACTTTTTTAATGTCTCATTTGATGAGTATTTGATGTCATACTTGCTGGTTCTTTTTGTAGCTAAACTATTCCTTGTTCGTTAATGCAAAATTGAACACTTTAAAACTTATTAAACTTTTCATTTGTGTAGTTGTTAAGCTTGCCTAAGTGCTTTTGTTGTAGCTAATCGCTGAACTTCAAAACATTTCATAACTTCTAAAAATTTAGTGTTGTGAAGGAAAAGAATAATGGATCCACTATCAATTGATGATCAATGTGCCTACCACTCATCTTATTTACATGATTTCCTTAAATGATTCAATTTGCACATGTCGGATTGCAAGTTTTATGCTTTTTTTTTTTCATAATTTGGAAAATGACATCATCTATTTAAGCACTGTAAATTCTTAATAATGTAAGAATGTTTTTGGGGATTCTAAGATGGTTTTGCACTTTAGGCTAGTCCGTAGTTTCTTAATTTTGACTAGAAGATGGTTGGGTTTTTTAAATAATTCTAACATGGATTATAGAATTCATTTAAACTTCTTGCAAATCCTATGCTAGTTTCCTTGTGAAATTGTTGAAGAAACTATTTACGTGATAATTACGAGGAATGTGGGGCCTATAATGCATCACAAACATTCTCTTGCAATGATAGCTTTTGCATCAAGTTTGACACAAAATAGTGGTTGACAAAAGTTTTAGGAGTGCATCCACATTCTCATAATTGAAATGCTAATAGTAATTGAGTTGCAAAAGTTATCATAAACAAATTTAAAACTCCGATGATCTCTAGTTTAGTGACAATAATACAATTGAATGTTGATGCAAACTTGGTGAGTAGAACAATTCCAATTATTGATTTGCGACCACAATAGTTGCTAGACCATCACAAAATTTGAGTTGTAGAGTCAATAAGTAGATGCATTTCTATTTTTCTTCCTGTTGACATCACATTTATTCATTCTTGTTTACATCTCATTCATGTGCACATCATATCAAAAGCTAAATGAAATTCACTTGCACCACATGAAATTACAACCAAGTATAAGATCTAGTTAAAACATGTTATATATGTTCTAGTAAGAAAATAAGTCTCTTGTTCTCCTACTACAAAATATACAAAGATCTAATTATAATTATTTACAAACTGTTCAAAATAAGTAATTAAATAGACATTATTAAATTTTACTAGTTACACATTACTGGAAAATCCACCCAATCAAGCAGAGATGTTGCCACAAGTCTTTGTATTATAAACCTCCAAAGTCACACCATTTGAAATCTATTTTTAGCAAATTAATAGTCGAAACATGCATCTTGACAAGACATGAATCAAAGAAGCCTAAGATTGCCCAATTTGAATCTCTTTAATACACTCAAATGGTGGAAAAATATCAAATGATCAATGGGGCATTTTAAGATGGTTGATGGAGTGTTTGGGGATTTTGGTAGAAATAGTTAAAATACAACCACAAAAATCTATAAATAGGCCTTATTTCACACATAAAGGGGATTTTAGATTGGGAGAGAACTCAGAAATTTAAAGAGTACTAAAACTCAGCTCATTGATTTCAACGACTATCATTGCTCGAATGCTCTTGTTTGACCGACATTCCCCGATTACAGCCTAAAGATTTCCATTAACAAACCATTGTTGTCTGACTATCATCTCTCTACTACATCACTAGACCTTTGTTACTTTCCGCAACTAATGCCAATTACCATTGTTGCCTAATTTCCTTACTCCACTATTGTTCAACACCGACACCACTCATCCCATGCTATGCCTCACTATTTTTCATTATTCTCACAGGAGGCCAAGATGAGAACTTGTACATTGTAATCCTCGGTTCTTCCAATTAGGAGGAGGATTTGATTTTTGTAATATTCACTTATATAGTGGATTATTTCAATTGGGCTAGACCCTATAATTTTCTTTTCTGGGGTTTTCACATAAAAACTCTTTTATTTCTTGTGAGCATATTTTTCTTTTTGTGGGCGAAATCTTGTTTAACCTTAAGATTTAATTTACAATCTATAATCACAAATTTTTAATACATAATAGTTTGGTTTTATGTGGGAAAGATCCTTCCACTATAAACACCTCTCTAGTGTTCGAAAGGCATAATGCTTACAACAATAAAACCACTAACTCTAGCACTCATCAATCTAGGAGCAAGTCCTTTAATCTAGGAAATCATAATCTTGTTGAAAAAGGCCCCCTCGGGGATGCCCTTGGAGGATCATGTTCACGGGATGGATGGGACTCAAAATCAAATACTTTAACTCTTACAAGAGGCTATTTGTAGACATTTCCTTCACTACTTGATGGAGTCTGTTTCGCCCAAGATTAACAATACATCAAAGCTAGTCAATTTGAGATCACTCATATAGAGCCCCATTATTGTCATGTTGAAATTTCTTCAGAAAAAAATGACCAAAATCTCCTTGACACTATTGTTCAACCCATCCTTTAAGTGTTGTTCAGCCGTCCCATAATCTCCTGACAACCATGTGAACTTGATCCTACCTTATCTCACTGACACCCCTTATGATGTGCTTCGAGATGAACCATGACGCTTAGTTTGAGAGGAATTTCCTTTTGGAGGAAATCAACTTCTTTATTGCCACAGTTTTCATTAGTCTTCGTCTCTGTCCGATGCTATGCTTAAGCATTCTATTCTAATGATATTCAAGTTACTCACTATAGATCCCTATGATAGATCATTTGACCCTTATGAGCATATTGATCATTATAGGATTATTATGCATATTTAACATGCCTCTAATGATTTCTTTGCTAAATTTTTCTTGCCACTCTCAAAGGTCAAGTTATCCCTTGGTTTAATTATCTTTCCATTATGACTATCCACACCTTCATTGACCTCACTAGATTTTTGTCGAGCAATTTATCGTGAATCAGAGTGTAATCAAGGACGCCTCCTACCTCTTTTGGTTTGCCAAAATGAGGGTGAAACTCTTAAATATTATGTTCAAAGATTATTCTCGAAGGCCTGCAAAATTCTAGGTGTGGATCTCGAGTTTATGCAAAAGGTTTATCAGGGAGCCTTGGGCCTTTTTCTCATCTCTAATGCGAGATACTTTTCGCTTCTATGTTAATCTTGTTCACCATATAGAAGCATAAATTATTGTTGATGTGGCAATCAATGCTCTTTGATATAAATTTTTCTTGCCACTCTCAATCGTGTTATCTTAGACAATCTTAATCATATCCATCAGTAACCCTTAGCATAAAAACTTTTGACCTTCAGGATGAAGACTCTATCCTCTATAGAGTCGTGCTTGTGGAGGGTTCGATCCATATTCCACTATCAAATGAACACTTTTTATTTAAAAAATGCAAGTTTGTTTTCTTCTATTTGTTGAGAGGTTGAGTTAGGAACCAAGACATCTTTGCTTGGAGTTTGGTAGATATGTCTAACATTGATCGTGAAACAATTGTACATTCTCTAAAGATAAACTGAACATTTAAGCCGATTATTTCAAACAAGAAAATCTTGGCATAAGATTGCTTGCAAGTGATTGAACAAGAGGTTGATAAGCTTTCGTAGGTTGAATTCATTCATGGAGTGTGCTAGCCTTCTTTTGATGAGGACATCAAAAGATCGACGGCTATGATGTGGAGTTTATTATTTTCTTTTGTGTCTTATGTACTAGTTTATTTTGTTTTCATGTTTTCCCATTTTACCCCTAGGGGTGGTCATTTGATATTGTAGCCCCGAGGGCATTTATGTCTTTTAGTTTTTGTTTCATTTTGGCCTATTTATAGGAGGCCTCATGCATTGTACTAGACATTGATGAATGAAATGAAAATTGCTCCCTTTTGTTCTCTTTGTGAGTGCATAACAAGATCTCTTAGTGAGTTCTTCCTTTGAGATCTCTTGGTGAGTTCTCTAGTTTATTTTATGTTTATTCGTTCACCATCTCTCTCTCATTAGAAGCTCCACAAAATCCCCTTCCCCCAAACCCTAGCCGCCGGCTCCCCCACCTTGGATCTTGCCGCCGGCCACCACCACC